AGGCTCTTTTTTGTAAAACAAAAATCTGATTTGTAATTGTTTTACATGCTTTACCCCAGATTTAAATACAGTAAATTAAATGTGGAACAATGATTGAATTGTACAACACAAGCAGAGCCTCGTCATTGAATAACTCCCTGACTTTATACAGTACTCCTGTAGATTTAGATACTTTTGTTCTTTAATATTGTATGTGAGGTCTCCATGTCAGCTTGTCATCAATAACGACACCCAGAAATTTCACCTCACTGACTTTACAGATCTCAATACTGTTTACTTTAAATGAGATATCAACAGTTGTCTTCCTGTTACTAAATATCATGTAATTTGTTTTATCCAAATTTAATGATAGTGTGTTTTTTATTTTCTCATATTCTTTCTGTACATCTCAAACATTTTTTCTGTATCTTTACCTAAACAAAATAAAATATATCGTCAGCAAATAAAACACCTTTGAAAAGTCTTCACACATTCACTAAGTCATCTACATATAAAATAAATAACTTAGGTCCCAGTACAGAGCCTTGAGGGACTCCACATGTGATATTACCAAGTTTAGATCTTACGCCATTTATTTGTACAAAGTGTTTCCTATCTTTCAAATAACTAGACACCCATTTTAGTGCCGACCCTCTAATACCATATTTACTTAATTTTTCAAGAAGAATACTGTGATCAATTGTGTCAAATGCTTTCTTTAAATCTACATAAATTCTCAATACTGTTTTTGATCGATAGCTGTTGTTATTTGTTCAATAAATTCCATAAGAGCCATTGATGTGGAATTTTTAGCTCTAAACCCAAACTGACTACTGCTTAAGATATTGTGCTTTTCGATAAATTGATCCAATCTGGTGACAAATAATTTCTCTAAAATTTTTGAAAACTGTGGTAGCAAGGATATTGGTCTGTAATTTTTGAACACAAGTTTCTCACTATTTTTAAAAAGAGGAATTACCTTGGCTGTTTTCATTTTAACAGGAACCAGTTGAAAATGATAAATTACAGATATATGTAAATGGTTCAATCACATAATTCATTGTATCTTTTACAATCATCATGTCCATGTCCACMCAGTCTTTTGATCTTTTGTCTGCAAGATTTTTTACAATATTCATGATTTCTTCTTTTGTCAGTTCCATCAAGGRAAATACTGTTTGTACAACCCATAACTGTGTGACTCACAATTTATCTACTTTTGGTGTTTTTGCTGCAAGACTTGGGCCAACATTTACAAAATAATTATTAAATCCATCCACAATTTCATTCTGGTGGTGAATTTCATYATCCTTTACAAAATACTGTGGAGAACTTGATTTTATTTTGTGATTTTACAAAAATCTATTCATTATTTGCCATGTTTCCCCTCATATTACCATTACTTTTGTCTAATAAGTCACTATAATAATCCTTTCTTGTGTTTTCTTATAATCCAAACCAACTTGTTTTTAWATTTCTTTTAGCTTCTAGCTACTGATTTGGTGCTGTTATTTTTCCTACTGTATTGCTAGCTTCAGAATGTAGCTATTTATTTGTTCATTTTAATTCAGCTTTGCGTATTTTAGCTTTGATTTTGCTAAGCTTAGCTTCCTGTTATGGTTATGCTGATCTTCAGCTTTAAAAGTTGCTGATTTTAGGTTTTAGCTCCAGTTTAGCTCATTTTTATCTTTTAGCTCCAGTTTTGCTGAGTTGAGCTTTGCTGTGGTTTTAACCAAAGACTTTAGGTTTTAGATGTGTTTTTATTAGTTTTTAGCTGCGGCTGCATTTTAGCTACAGGCTAATGCTTGTTTTAGCTTTAAAACTCGTTTTTAGGTTTCTTTTAATATAATATCATTTTATTTCTGAACTCTTTCTTTACTCTTAACAAATGTTAGTTTGTTGGTTTTTTTTTCCTGTGTATTTTAGCTGGAGTATTTTAGCTACAGTTTTGCTAAGTTTAGCTTCCTGTTATGCTTTAACTGATTTCAGGCTTTAGGTGCAGTTCAGCTTCAGCAGCTTTCCTTCTGTGTTTTTGCAGAAAATGTAATTGTTTTTTTAAGTTTCTTTGATGATTCAAATAAAATCTGAGCCAAACTGTGGACTTTCAGAGGGTTTAAAGGGTTTTATTTGCCCTTCAGCTGATGGTCTTTTTTCAGTCCAGTAAGCATTTTCAGAGTTTTCTGGTTGCTAAGCTGCTTCGCTCAGATTGTTGAGCGTAAAAAACAAACAAAGCAGTGGCTAAATGAACGACCCACTGCTGGCTCTGCGAGCTGCAAACATCTTGAGAAGAAAAAAAACCTGATCTGAATTTCACCTGGAGGTGTTTTCCTCCTGACACTCTTCTGCAGAAACTGTTTGTTCCAGTTCCTTCATGCAATTCTGCAAAAAATACCGAAGATGTCAGGATGTCAGGCAGGGTTTGACAGACATGAAGGAGTGTCTTCTTTATTTGGTCAACTTCAGCTGAACTGGTTTAGATGAGCAGCATTTTGTCACCCACCCTGATCAGACTGTTGAGAACAGCAGCCTGTAGTTTGTCCTCCACATGACTGTGTGTGTGGTTGTGTGTGTGTGGTTGTGTGTGCTGCACCTGTCTGACTATCAGCTGACACACACCTGTACCACATGAGTCAGGCACACAAACACAGACAGAGCCTGCTGCTGTCCTCGTTCACTCTGCGTGTTTTTCCAAACACCAGGGAGTCGAGGGTGTCTTGTTTAGACACGGGAGGCATTCGAGTCATTTCGCCAAGTGCCTGAAGGAGGTGTCGGCGCTGGGAGCGTACAGCCGCAAGGGGCCGAAAGGGAGTTTAATGACACAAAGAACTTTGAACCTAAAACACGCCAAAAACACACACCACTCGTTCTTCTCTAAAACCCAACAGGAAGTTCAGACAAGTTTGATTATTTTAATAAAATGTGTAAAAAAATGAGTTAAACGAGTCGTTCTGAAAACACAAAAATTAAGTAGTTTAATGATTCTACAGTGATATGTTGGAGATATAAATAAAAAAAAAACCTTCCTTGCAGATTTGAGCTTTTTTTTTTTGAGTCCAGATAGTCAATTGTTAYGACCCGGCTCAGCCAGGAAAAGTGGACGTAACATTTAAACCAGGTGGAAATTGGTTTAAAGTTGAAAAAGTGATTTATTGTTGCCAGTGAACAAAATGAATCACTTTTTCATCTTTAAACCAATTTCCACCTGGTTTAAATGTTACCGTCCYTTTTCCTGGCTGAACTGGGTCGTAACATTAATGGGGGCTCGTCCGGGATCTTAATAGGATCCCCTGTGACTAAAATGGATAATTGTTTAGACAGTTAGTTGAGTGACAGAGGTCTGTGAGCCTCAGGCCATAACATCAATGAASAAAATATTTACATTTTAATGCATAAACTGTTCAAGAAGTTAAAAAATTGATGCAACAATTTTTGAAAAGTTAGACTAAAATGATCACAAGTGTTAAATTATCTGTATGATTCAAGATGMCAGAGGTAATTAGCTACATGACAACATATTGTGCAACTGTTCTCACAAGGATGACTGACTTATGAAGAAATGTGCTGTGCTAGTTTTGTTTTTAGTTTATTTTACTGGGTTTTCACGTTTTTTTTTAATGTTAATTTCTACTCATGAGTGGTAAAATCGTTTTTGTTTCTTCTTTTCCAGGAGCAGAGACCTGCCTCCTCGTAGCCATGAGCTCACCGGCTTCCTTTGGCAGCAACATGCTGTGTGAGTTCCCACAAACCTTTCATTTGTCTTGTCGGCTCAGCTGCTGTTTGCGATGACGGTGATTACATCYTGAGCTAATTATATGTGTTTTTATGTCGTTCGTTCTCAGTTCAGACCATAAACGATGACCTGAACGCATCGCTGGCCACAGCGGATGAGTTATCCAAAGAGTTCAGTTCCTTGATGCAGGAGGCGTCTTCCAGCAACAACAACAAACCTTCTGGCTCTCAGGTGCTCATGGATCCACTGAGATCCACCCACAGGACTTGTTCTGCATCTTTAAATCGATTTCCTTCAGACATGACAGCTCATGTTCACACCCYGCCTCTTTTAGCATCTCTAGCATGTTCGAAGCATCATGCTTTTGCAGTAAAACCTTTTCATTTTCCATTGCCTGATTGCTAAAGCTAACATGAGCCTCAGGGKAGTTATTCATATTTTTAGCTAAACTGATTTCTAGTAAACTAAAGAAAATGTTTATCAATTATTGCAGACCAAACTATTTGGACAAGATGATAATAAAAAAATGCGATTAACAAACTGCTTTTAGCAAAACAAAACAGAGCTAGATGATCTCTTTACATCAGGGCTCAGAAGTTCCTAAAAATGAATCTCAGATCTTTATTTTTATCAGCTGGAAAAGCATTTCATAACTAACTAGAGAATTAGCATTCTCTGTGACAACGCAGCCTACTGCTGAAAGATTTTTACAGAAAAAAAGGAAAGATGCACAAAAATGTTTTATATTTGATGTAAACTAGCCAATTCATTGTGGCCAGTGAACAAAATAAATCACTTTTTCATCTTTAAAACAATTTCCACCTGGTTTTAATGTTACCTCCCTTTTTACTGGCTGAGTTGGGTCGTCACATTAATGGGGGCTCGTCCGGGATCTCAATAGGATCCTGTGACTGAAGTGGTTAACTGTTTAGACAGTTAGAGTGACGGACTTCTGTGAGCCTCAGGCCATAACATCAATGAACAAAATATTTACATTTTAATGCATAAACTGTTCAAGAAGTTTAAAATTTGATGCAACAATCTTAGAAAGTTTAGACTAAAATTATCACAACTATTAATTCTCTGTATGCAAGATTCCAGAGGTAACACTTTTTCATCTTTAAACCAATGTTTTTAATTTGATGTAAACTAGCCAAAAATGCTAAAATTAGCAGAAAAGTAGCTTGAAAACCTGTATCTAGTACAAATAAGTACGGTAAGTATATGTATGCTGAATTACGCAGTAAGAGGCTGAAATTATCACAAAATGGTGAATTTAGCTGACAAAAGATAAAATTAGCTGAAAAGTAGCTGAAAGGTGGAAAGTGTAATGAAACTTAAGCTGTTTTAAAAGGTTGTAAAGATGTTGAAAATGGCTCCATTTCCAATRAAAACAAAAATGGCAAAAAGCTAAATATTTCATAAAGTATGGATTGCTGAAGTTGCTGAAAAATCATAGCCAAAATGTCCAGAAGTCGCTAACTGTTTTAGAATCTTGACATCTGTCTAGTTCAGTCTGAAAATCATCAAAGTGTCAGATTATGGATTCTGAGTTTGTCTCCTCAGACCAGCTCAAATACCTTGAGGAACCAGTCTCAGTCCCTTGGGTCTCCCAGCCTGTCCAGCACCAGGTTGTCTTCAGGATCCAGCTCCAAACCGTTCTCGTCCAACCAGACCTACTACAGTTCCATCGACTCCGGCCTCTCCAGCAGTGGCGGCATAAATCTCMCGTCCCCACCTGTTGCCTCGTTCGGGTCTTCGGGTCTGTCCAGCTCCACRCTGTCCTCTGGACGGTCCTCCAAYGGCAGTCCTAGCTACAAACCCTTCTCCCCGAGTCAGACCTACTTCAACCCCATCGAATCATGCCTGCCCAGCAGCAGAACCGCATCGTCCCCGCCCATCTCCTCCATCAGTCCGCACTCGTCCCCGAAGATGCAGAGGTCCCCGCGTCCTCAGCAACGATCCAACGACAACTTCTCCTTCTCCTCGCGGTCCGACTCCCCGTCTTATTTTGAAAGGAGCCCGCAAGTCTTGATCGGTTACAARGAGAGGACGAATTCCCCGAGCCGAAAGGACCATTCACCTCGCTCCTCTTCCCCCCACACCCTGAGTCCGAACGAAAGCAGCATGATGGGCCTCAGGTCCCCTCGACACGACAAGGGTCTCTCGCCGCTGACGTTCAAACTGTATTCCAGCACCGTGCCCCGAAATCTTTACGGCTCGGGACAAACTGGTGAGTTTCTTCTTCTCCAGCTGGAAAAATGTTTTAAATKAAGTTTAAATAAAAACTTTCCTGTTGTTGAATCTTTAAGATGAGAACATGAAACGACAAAAAAGTCCCAACAAGTGGAACGAAAGCGATCTGGACGCGACCTACGAGAGGAAGCCTCATCACAGCTACGACAGTCGGTTGATTCTTCTTGTTTTTTAATTTCCAGCTTTTAYGTTAAATGCACTCACTTTCTGCAACATTCTTGTCCCTCGACCCTTCACTCTCCCGCTGCAGAGACGGAGTGGCTGCGGTCGCCTGCGCCGGGCGGCARCTGGCGGGAATCCAACCTGGACGGCCCCCCGTTTGCCCCCAACCCTAAGAAGGTGGGCGTGGCCATGCTTTATTTTTAGAAGTTAAATCAAGACACGACTGTTGAGTCGACACACGGGAGGCGACAATCACTCGCCATCCTCCAGCCAAGCAACCRGCGAAAATCGTGCATGTGAAATTTCGCGCTCGTACACGTAGACGTGCACACGCGAGCTCGCGACGCGACATATGAAAGTTGGAAAATGTTAAACTTTTGTTGCTGTCGCTTGGCGCTACAACCAATCAGCGAGGGTTTCACTGACTGACCAATGAGAAGAGAATATAAATATTAAATAAATAATAATAATAAATAAACACGGAATAGTTTAAATTCACGCTCTTATTTTGAAATGAGCTGTTCTTGTTCCTGTAGCCTACCCAGAATGCTTTGCTTTAGTTTTTTTCAACAAAAAGTTTAAAACTACTAATATATCTGCATGTTTTCTTACTGAAGTTCTGCCATAAACATAAGAAAATGACCAAGAAGCAGCAGAACTAGCAATCCACGTCTATTTTTTGTTTTACAACTATGATTTAAAAGTCTGTTTCTACGAATCACCTCCCCATTCTGCACCGACATGTGCCAACCTGTCCAAGAAAACGATCTTACCACTACATGGTATAAAGTGTGGATTTTTCTCTTGCCTGAAAGTTTTCTGGTAAGCAGAGATAATCTTGCGCTTTATGTTTAGCTTCTGCTAAGTTTTATCGACCATATGTGCTTTTGAACTTGCAGACCTAAATAAATTGACTAGTGCTTTAGAAATTGCGCAACTAAAATTTACATTAGCACTACCCACCACTGATCATTAGCTTTGCAAAATTTGTTTAGTTTACACGTTCGTAATGCGCCCCCACCCTTTTTTTGCGAACCACCAATAACTTTTACAAGTAGCAGTAGAAGAACCACTCAAATTTCGTGAAGACAAGCGACCTGAGAGCGTGATTCGCAACGCTGCCGTCGCTATCGCGTCCCGTGTGTTGGATTTCACCCTGGTTGCGATGACAGCCGTTAATCGCTGTTGTTTGTCACTCCCCGTGTGTCGAGCCCTTTATTCTACTAATTTATTTATTTATTTTTACTTTCAGGATCTTCGCTTGCTCCCGCAGCAGGGCTCCTACAGCTCCCTGCCTCGGAACGCCCGCATCGCGGTCCCGCCGGACGTTTCGTCCCAAGCCCAGTTCCACAGAGAAATGAAAAACACCCCGTACTACTCKCAGCCCCTGTCCCGCATTTCTGTCCCTCCCACTTCCTCTCCGTTTCCCCAACGGAAGGCCCTGCCACTCTCGGTCATCCTGCGCCTCCAGAACCCCTACTTYGGGGCGATGACGTCACACCCCTCGACGGTTTTAGGAGAAGAAAGAGACTTTCCACCGTACCAGCCTCCTGTGCCCATCCTGCAGGAGTTCTTCCACCAACCTGATTTCCAGCCACAGCAGCAGCCGCCCGTGTACAGTGACGGTAAAACACGTCTGGATGATAAAAATTTAGTTTCTGCAGAGTCTTTGCTGTAAATTTTTTTTAGATTTTATTTATACAGGGTTCCCACGTGTCCTTGAAATCCTTGAAAGTTTGTGAATTTGAAAAAATATATATTTCAAGGCCCTGGAAAGTTTGTGAAAACAGCCAAAAATTACACTTGTCCTTGAAAGTCCTTGAATGTTTTTAGGGATTGAAGTTCTCTTTTCACACTTTTCATCATCTGTAAAAAATAAATTATAATAATAAAGTAAAAATAAAAACATATCTGCGGTGGATAACTCAGGATTACTGTAAACTGACGTGGCTTTCAACAAATAACCTGAGCCATGGTCATAGTTTTATCCAATCAGAGCAGAGTAGGGCGGGTCTTTCTGAGCCCAGGTGAAGCAGCACAGCTCCTCCTGTCCTCACTGAGTGTCTGGACATGTCCTCCTCCCAAACTGAGCTGCTGAACCTCCCAGGACATAATTACATGTCCTGGATTGTAGATCTGAATGTGGTGTAAACATTTAATCCACTTTCTTTCATTGTTTCTGACTCAACAMCTTCTGTTGTTCAGTTTTTCATTGTCTTTACATGATATTAAACCTGTTTATTGGTAACGTTC